TCTGGAAACAAAATGACAATCTATACAGACTCCACTATTTTGTCGGGCTATTGCAACAGCTAGTAAATAAAACTACGAATCGAAATGTCGTTCACATACCTGTAAAAAGCAGGGACACCAAAGTAACGCAGACCGTCAACCCGCTGACAGACAGGCAGTCCATACGCTGTCAACACAACTCAGTGAGACTAGAGAAACCGAGAACACACCACTGGCCCGTCTGCCTACTGAGGGGTTGGGACTATCTGGCCAAGCTGCAAAACCGGAACTTCTACAATTTATCTTCTAAACATCGGATTTTAAAACTAACGCTAACATTAACCATACTCCTAAAACTTGTGCCTGACCTACGCTTACATGAAGAGCAAAAAGCTAATTGACGTCTTCATACATTTTCACGATTTATGCCAAATTCCGACTTTGCAGCTTGCCACTATAGTGGGAAATGTCTACTGTGGACTTCTTAGTTAGGTAATGACTGGTGCATTGTGGGATAGATTCCAGCGCCACCGGGCACAGATCTCCAAATATGAGCAAGAGCTAAATCTGATTACGCGAAGCTGAGTACATACAGTCGGATCAAACCGAACTAGCAGACTATTTAAATTAAACAGTTATCCTACTACTGGCTCTCATTCCTGGAAACACTATCATAATGTATTGTTGCTAGAGCAGATTGGAAAGTGAGTCCAATGAGAGACATAGAATAGCCTGGAATATAATAGAACTGTTAGAATAGTGAGACAAATATTTAGAATGAATTAGAATAGAATAGAACTGTTAGAATTCAGTCTGTTTTGAAGAAGCGGTTTTAATTATCTATTTTTTTTTCACCGCTTATGGTGGGTCGCGACTCAACAGACGGCTCAAATTGGCGGGTCAGGAAGCAAAGTGTACACAGGCCCTGCTGCTGGACAGGCTCTGCACTGAGGGGCAGGTCGGGTGGAGGTAGAGACGGGCAGGACACCTCCCATTTCCATATAGGAGAAGATATAGAGAGAGAGAAAGCTGTGGAACAATACTTCTCACACCATTAGCAGTCTTCAATGCACAGTCTAGCCATGTAGACCAGTGAAGGAAAAAAACAAACAAATAAACCTTTAAATCAGAGCCTTTTTTTACAAGACAATTAAGTGACAAATTACATTAAAATATCAACTGACCCTTTTAAAATGTCTGGAGATTATTGTACAACCTTGCCTTCATCTGGCTTGCAGGGGGGGATAGTGATAGGTCAAACTGAACGATACAATGCAATAGAAATTAAACAGCTTCTGCATATAATAATAGTATATATTACAGGTATATAAATGTACAGTGTTTCCATAAAATACATAATCAGAAGAGGAAACCTCATTTAGGGGGTGCAGCCGATAGTTGAAGCAGCCAGCGTCACCTTGGACCACAGAGAAGTGCCACACAGATAGGGTTAGAAAATTCTGGAAACTTTCCCAAAATTCCCGGTTGGAAGATACCCGGAATAAAGAGGGAATAAGCAGAAAATCCCAAAATCCTCCAACCGGGATTTCAGGAAAACGTTAGTCTTTTTTGTAAACCGCACACAGACCAAACTAACATGTACATTCACACACTCACTTTATACAGTCTCTTATACCATTTCTTAGTTTCTTATAAGAAAAACAACCTTCGGGTGCATCACTGGTATTCAACATTACAAAAATATAAAGATTACCATTACCCATGATGCACCACGCAGGAAAGTACAGTAAGCAAAAACTGGCTTCCATTTTGAACGTTGTTTATTTTGTACATATTCAGCTCTGTGCAGTGGAATACAATTGTTTAAAGTGAATGTAAGGTTGTTCTGTAACGGGAAGGAGAGTAAGTACTTTAAATCATGTAAGCACTAACACACAGTATCTAAACAACATTAAAATGACTACCCAAAACGACAACAACCTGACTTTAATTAAAAAAACACTGATTACGTTCCAAATGGCATCCTATTCACCATAGGGCTCTGGTCAAAAGTAGTGCACTATATAGGGAATAGGGTGCCATTTGGGACGTAAACCCTGGTGGGGGTGCAGGAGAGCATATTTGTTGTACACAAACACCTACAAAACCCCCCATTCTGGGTGTTGACCTGAAAAAAAAACATTCCAAGAAAACACAATTATTTCTGACCTTACGTTCCCTTTAAACAAATGACTGTACCACTTTAGTAAACCCAAGACATTCTCCAGTAATGCAGCGCCAGACGTTAAAAAACAAAACAAAAAGCACAAAGTTAAGGCACAACCAGGTCAACTGTTGCAGGGGACATGACTGCACCAGGTGAAAAACATTTTTTAAATGTGCATCGTTTTGTACAACTTACTGCGCCCCACTTTCAACTTTACACTGCATTTCCCCCCCCCCCCCCAATTTTTTTTTTTACGAATCTGAATGGCGGCCTATCCTTTCATCTTGAAGCATTATGAATGTGTTCATAGTTAGACGCCAACACAACGTCACGTCTAACTCACAAGCAATCGCTCAGAACTTTACAGTCTCCATTTAGATACAGAGGGGTTGGAATACTTGTGTGCTTCCCAAATGGCACCCTAGTCCCTAAATAGTATACTACTTTTGGTTGAAATAGGGTGGCATTTGGGACACGGATATTGAGTTTGTACTTTAATAAAGAAAATATTTTGAAATCAGCTTATTTCCCGCATCAACGTTAAACACCATTTATTCCGTGTTACATCTAAAAAAACAACTGGGTTTTGCATTCTCTCTCTGTGCATCATTATAATAACATCAACATTAGGTCTGTGTTTATGAACAACAAAATGGCTGGATACAATTAAAATAACCACTATAACAAAAGAAGTCAAATGACTTTCAACATGGCAGGAAAAAAAAGTATTTGTATGCGTCCCAAAATGGCACCCCATTCCCTTAGTAGTGCACTATAAAAAAGAAACAGGGTGCCATTTTGGGACGCCGATTTTTCTTTCTCACAAAGTAGTTATAAAACGGTATGCATAAATGACCAATAAAAGGAATCTGGAGCGTCACATATGGAACCAGCTGAACTCTGTTCCTGTACACAGGACTGGCTGCGTCTGACATGGCACCCTATTCCCTTTGTAGTGCACTACTTTTGACCAGGGCCCATAGGGTTAGTGCACCATATAGGGAATAGGGTGCCATTTAACACACAGGACTGTATTGGAGGGACCATAGAACAGCGATGCATGGCTTCCACTCCATCTACACATCCATGGATATATACAAAACATATTAAAACCAGTGTCTTACTGAGAATCCATTCACCCCTCTGAATGGCAACACATACACAATCCATGTCTCAAGGCTTAAAAATCCTTCTTTAACCACCTGTCTCCTCGCCTTCATCTACACCGATTGAAGTGGATTTAACAAGCGACATCAATAAAAGGGATCATAGCTTTCACCTGGTCAGTCGGTGTCATGGAAAGAGCAGGTGTTCTTAATGTTTTGTATACTCAGTGTACGCGCACGTCCCAAATGGCCACCCTATTTATTCCCTATATATAGTGGGGCTCTGGTCAAAAAGTAGTGCACTATAAAATGGAAAAGGAGTGCCATTTGGGTTGCAGGAAGCCTAGGTATGCATACATCCCCATGTTCCAGCAGAAGTCTATGTGGATGGAACAATTAAAAGAGCATGAACCATAAATCAATTAGAAATCAAAAACAGTTATTCATTAAAATAGTAACACAAAACAATATAACATTGGAATCCATTGGAATATATTCTGACTGACTGGAGAAGCGCTTCAGGAGCTTGAGGGAGGAAAGATACTTAAAAATGGCCACCAATACGGAATTTAAAAAAAAGACAGAAAAGCAAAGAAGCCAAAAAAAAAAATGGACGACTGACTGACCGCCCACGTTATTGCTCCCTCTTCTCTGAGCGCCACAGTGAGGGAGTCTCTCTCTCTAAGACGTAGGCCCAGAGTGCACTAACACCACCAGCCAAAAATCACCGTCTCGCAAACAACTTACCCATGGATGTTATCCTCCCCAACCCTCACAAAAACGCTTCCACCTCTGATACAGAATCTGATGCAGTCAGCACGTTAAAAGAGAAATTGGGAGCGGTAGGCAAGGAAAAATGAGCTTATGGTTTTGCTTTATTAATACAGACAACTCAAAAAAAGGAAGCCACCGCCACCAACCAACCATTCAACATGTATCTACAGCTTCCAGCTAGCACCCAGCCTTTCCCCCCGCCGCTCCACTAAAACACCAAAAGAAAAAAGGGGATTACGTCCTCCAGGAAATAAACATCCACATTATGTTATAAATTCAAAAGCTTAAATAAGAGGCATACTTTAACCAGCACATGCAGCAATTTCAATGTATAGCCCAACTCAACTCCTTGAGAAATCATGGGGCCAGTCATTAAAAGAGGGGGGTGGTGGGAAGGAGGGGAGACGAGAGAAAGAAGGGATTGTTTCTCTCTCATTTCTCTCTTTAAATATGCCATTAGAACGAAATGGAAGTTTGTTTCCTTGTTAAATCCATAAAAGTTTGTAATACAAAAAGACAAATTTAAATAGTGTCGACGGCACCAGCGAATCACACATCTCCACCTTTCTCATGGAGAGCTCAGACCACGCCCCCTAGTCTCCAATCTCCCAGCCCATTGGTTGTTCAAGCGGTCTTCCAAAGTTTAGCTCACCGCTTTTGTTTTCAAACACTGATTGTTCTTTACAACAAAAACACCACAGGTCTGTCAGTCAGTCTAAAGCCTCCCAACCACTCCTGTGGTCCAGACAGGTTGTGGACAACCAACAGTCAGACAGACAGTCAGTCCCCTTAAAGAGAAAACAAAGCCCTGTGAGTTGAGACAGACGGTTCACCCAGCCCTGTGAGTTGGACAGACGGTTCACCCAGCCCTGTGAGTTGGACAGACGGTTCACCCAGCCCTGTGAGTTGACAGACGGTTCAGCCAGCCCTGTGAGTTGGACAGACGGTTCACCCAGCCCTGTGAGTTGGACAGACGGTTCACCCAGCCCTGTGAGTTGACAGACCAAGCCACCATCACCCCCCAGTAGAGGCTGGCTAAGGGGAGACTGAAGGAAGGGGGGCTTGTGTTGAGGTGAGACCGTTACACTGTGGTAAGAAGGAGCTGGTTGGGTTGGTAGCGTTGGTAGCTGTGGGGTTGAGGGAGAGAGGAGGCTGGGGTAATCTGCCCCCCCCCTCAGGAGAAGCCTAGAGAGTTAGCGTTAGTGCTGGTATCAGGGCTGGTGTGGTGACGTAGCCTGGACATGGTGTTCATGTGAGTACCAGAGGGCTTCAGGGAGGTGGTACAGCCCTGGGCCTGGGGAAACCGCTGGTGGTAGCGGTCCAGACGCAGATACTTCACCGTCACCAGCTTCCCTGGGAGGGGGGAGGGAGGGAGGGAGAGAGAGAGGGAGGGGAGGAGAGACGGGAGAGAGGGAGGGGGAGGGAGGGAGGGAGAGACGGGAGGGAGGAGGGAGAGAGAGACGGGAGGGGAGGAGAGACGGGAGGGAGGGAGAGACGGGAGGGGAGGGGAGGAGGGAGGAGGGGAGGGGAGGAGAGACGGGGAGGGAGGTGAGGAGGAGACGGGAGGGGAGGAGAGAGGGAGGGGGGAGGGAGAGGAGCGGAGGGAGAGCAGAGGGAGGGGAGGAGGGAGGGAGAGAGACGGGAGGGGAGGAGAGACGGAGGAGAGAGGAGGGGAGGAGGAGGACGGGAGGGGAGAGAGAGACGGGAGGGAGGGAGGGAGAGGAGAGACGGAGAGGGAGGAGAGAGGGGAGGGAGGAGGGAGGGAGGGGAGGAGAGACGGGAGGGGAGGAGAGACGGGAGGGGAGGAGAGACGGGAGGAGAGGAGAGGAGGGGGAGGAGGAGGAGGAGAGAGAGGGAGGGAGAGGGAGGGGAGGGAAGGAGGAAGGGAGGGGAGGAGAGACGGAGGGAGGGAAGGGAGAGACGGAGGAGGGAAGGGGAGGGAGGGAGAGACGGGAGGGAGGAGAGGGAGGGAGGGAGAGACGGGAGGGAGGGAGGGAGGGAGAGACGGGAGGTAGGGAGGGAGGGAGAGACAGGAGGGATAGGGAGGGAGAGAGAGAGAGACAATGAAGACCAACCATGTGACTAAATCTCTTAAATCCTTCCTACTTTATCCAGTATCAATTACCACAACACCACATGACTAGTAGTACAAATGCTATTGGCTCATAGTTTGCAAACAAGGGATTGTTGAAATTGGTTAGATAAATGTTGAGCACCAGGACCTCAGCAGGGAACAACAAGGTCCATTAAAGGATGGAAGGACAATGAAGCCCAAACCAAGACAAGTGTGTTGCTGCTAAAGCCTTTTAAAATGGATTTACCATCGAACCAGGATCCGTGTAGCGCCTTGAAGGCTTTCCCTGAGTGCTCTGATGACAGACACTTCACATAGACACAGCCCTGGGGAGAGAAGAGGGGGGAGAGAGGGGAGAGAGAGAGAGAGAGAGGGGAGAGAGAGAGAGAGAAGAGGAGAGGAGGAGAGAGAGAAGAGGGGAGAGGGAGAGACAGAGAGAAGAGAGGGGGGAGACAAAAGAGGAAGAGAGAGACAGGAAAGAGAGAGGAGACGAGAAGAGGACAAGAGGAGAGGGAAGAGGAGAAGAGAGAAGAGGGGAGAGAGAGACGAGAGAAGAGAGACGAGAGAGGAGAGAGCAGAGAGAGAGACAGAGAGAGAGAAGAGAGAGAGAGACAGAGGAGAAGAGAGAGAGAGAGAGAGAGACGAGAGAGAGAAGAGACAGAGAGAGAGAGAGAGAGAGAGCAGAGAGAGAGAAGAGAGACAGAGAGAGACAGGAGAGAGAGAGAGAGGAGAGAGAGAGAGAGAAGACAGAGAGACAGAAGAGAGACAGAAAGAGAGAAGAGGAGAAGAGAGAGACAGAGACAGAGACAGAGAGACAGAGACAGAGACAGAGACAGAGAGAGAGAGAGAGGGAGAGAGAGGGAGAGAGAGAGAGAAAAGAGGTTAACAATCTCTTCTACCACAGGTTGTAACAGCCACATCACTCTGCCTGTAGAGAGACTCACACTGCAATATATAACAATCATATGGCTGTTGGTCACATCTGGTCAGTGAATATATAACAACCATATGGCTGTTGGTCACATCTGGTCAGTGAATATATAACAACCATATGGCTGTTGGTCACATCTGGTCAGTGAATATATAACAACCATATGGCTGTTGGTCACATCTGGTCAGTGAATATCAAGTGTATAGAGTCAGTCCAAAACCACTAGAAATCTGGTGAATAAGAACCGAGACATTGTGTACGTCCCAAATGGGAGCCTATTCCCTATATAGTGCACTACACTTTGACCAGTTTTCCCCCATTTGGAAAACAGCCATTGCATGCTATAAAAAGAGATGAAAAACAGCTGTGACACTCACCTCTCTGGAGTTCTTGTCGACAGCGATGTGGACGATACCGTCGTTGTCACAACACTTCTCCAAGATGGCCTCGTGGATGGCCAGGTGCCAGTTTTCACCAACCTCCCTGTTACACACACACACACACACACACGCACACACACAGGGGTTAGACGTCAGCTCGGAGTCCTAACCCACCTCTAACCTGGTAAGTCAAGAACACACAGGTAGGACAGGTCACTACATGGGGTACACACAGGTGTCATTCCACTGGAATAGGTGTTCCATGGTTGGACTACGTCACATGTAGACAGACGGCTCTAGCCCCAGTGAAACCACTTGATGCAATTTATATCTAAGAGTTTGTATGCATGTATGTATGCATGTATGTATGTATGTATGTATGTATGTAGCTGCTGACACTGACATGCAAAGAAGACGTTTTAGTCCGCTGATGAGTACCACGCTCACCCCTACAACACAACCCTAAAAGATTGACGCCGAAGACGTTTGCTTAGTAATAACCTCCGGTACTCACATGACTGGATCAAACATGTTTCTGATCTTGAGACACGGTGTTAAACTGTTGGGAGGAGAGTTCCTCCTGTCCAGAGGGAATGCTGAGAGGAGAGAAAATACAGACAGGAAAGAGACGTTAGATGGAGAGAGACAGGAAAGAGATGTTAGATGGACAGAGAGAGACAGACAGGAAAGAGACGTTAGATGGAGAGAGACAGGAAAGAGACGTTAGATGGAGAGAGACCGACAGGAAAGAGACGTTAGATGGAGAGAGAGAGAGACAGGAAAGAGACGTTAGATGGAGAGAGACAGAGACAGGAAAGAGACGTTAGATGGAGAGAGACAGACAGGAAAGAGACGTTAGATGGAGAGAGACAGACAGGAAAGAGACGTTAGATGGAGAGAGACAGACAGGAAAGAGACGTTAGATGGACAGAGAGAGACAGAGAGGAAAGAGACGTTAGATGGACAGAGAGAGACAGAGAGGAAAGAGATGTTAGATGGACAGAGAGAGACAGGAAAGAGATGTTAGATGGACAGAGAGAGACAGGAAAGAGACGTTAGATGGACAGAGAGAGACAGGAAAGAGACGTTAGATGGACAGAGAGAGACAGGAAAGAGACGTTAGATGGAGAGAGACAGACAGGAAAGAGACGTTAGATGGAGAGAGACAGACAGGAAAGAGACGTTAGATAGAGAGAGACAGAGACAGGAAAGAGACGTTAGATGGAGAGAGACAGGGACAGGAAAGAGACGTTAGATGGAGAGAGACAGACAGGAAAGAGACGTTAGACATACAGTATAACAGGATGGAAGCAACCTTTTTTAAATTTCTGACATACACTATTGACCAAAAGTATGTGGACACCTGCTCATCGAACATCTAATTCCAAAATCATGGGTATTAATATGGAGTTGGTCCCCCCCCCTTTGCTGCTAAAACAGCCTCCACTCTTCTGGGAAGGCTTTCCACTAGATGTTGGAACATTGCTGCAGGGACTTGCTTCCATTCAGCCACAAGAGCATTAGTGAGGTCGGGCACTGATGTTGGGCGATTAGGCCTGGCTCGCAGTCGGCGTTCCAATTCATCCCAAAGGTGTTCGATGGGGTTGAGGTCAGGGCTCTGTACAGGCCAGTCAAGTTCTACCACACCGATCTCAACAAATAATTTCTGTATGGACTTCATTTTGTGCCCGGGGGCATTGTCATGCTGAAACAGGAAGGGCCTTCCCCAAACTGTTGCCACAAAGTTGGATGCAATGAATCGTCTAGAATATAATTGTATGCTGTAGCGTTAAGATTTCCCTTCACTGGAACTAAGGGGCCTAGCCTGAACAATGAAACAGCCCCAGACCATTATTCCTCCTCCACCAAACTTTACAGTTGGCACCATGCATTGGGGCAGGTAGCGTTCTCCTGGCATCCGCCAAACCCAGATTTGTCCGTCGGACTGCCAGATGGTGAAGCGTGATTCATCACTCCAGAGAACGCGTTCCCACTGCTCCAAAGTCCAATTGCTCGGCCATGGAAACCCATTTCATGAAGCTCCTGACGAACAGTTCTTGTGCTGACGTTGCTTCCAGAGGCAGTTTGGAACTCGGTAGTGAGTGTTGCAAATGAGTACAGACGATTTTTACGCGCTACGAGCTTCAGCACTCGGCGGTCCCGCTCTGTGAGCTTGTGTGGCCTACCACTTCGCGGCTGAGCCGTTGTTGCTCCGAGACGTTTCCACTTCACAATAACAGCACTTACAGTTGACCGGGGGCAGCTCTAGCAGGGCAGAAATTTGACAAACTGACTTGTTGGAAAGGTGGCATCCTATGACGGTGGCACGTTGAAAGTCACTGAACTCTTCAGTAAGGCCATTCTACTGCCAATGTTTGTCTATGGAGATTGCACGGCTGTGTGCTCGATTTTATACACCTGTAGCAACGGGTGTGGCTGAAATGGCCGAATCCACTCATTTGAAGGGGGTGTCCACATACCTTTGTTTTTACATATACTGTACATGTTCTTCGTTAGATTCCAATGCATTGGTCTACTTAATACAGTACACTTTACATTGACCAAAACTCCATCTACAACCTACATGCTGCACATAAAAGCCAAGGTACACGCTGCTCTTGGGAAACCATAACCCAACTCCTTCACAGTTAAGGGACTAGGTCTGCGTCCCAAATGGCAGGGCTCCGGTCAAAAGGAGTGCCCTTCACAGGGAACAGGGTGCCAGGTTAGTTACCTTTGCCCTGCCAGACTTTGGAGGGGATGAGTGAGATCTGGTCGCAGCTCAGAGACGGCTGGAGCCACCTCCACACCAGGAAGTCAGCTCCACCAATCCGCTGAGACTCCGTCCTGATACGGCTATCGTTGGCTGAGAGGAAGGTCACGGCCCGGTCCCAAACCTTCTTCAGCTTCTTTCTGGGATGGTAGAATAGAAACTAACAGTTATCATCACTAGTTTGTCTCTCTGAATGGTAGAATATAAACTAACAGTTATTAATCACTAGCTTGTCTCTCTGGTAGAATAGAAACTAACAGTTATCATCACTAGCTTGTCTCTCTGAATGGTAGAATATAAACTAACAGTTATTAATCACTAGCTTGTCTCTGAATGTTAGAATAGAAACTAACAGTTATCATCACTAGCTTGTCTCTCTGGTAGAATAGAAACTAACAGTTATTAATCACTAGCTTGTCTCTCTGACATGGTAGAATATAAACTAACAGTTATCATCACTAGCTTGTCTCTCTGACATGGTAGAATATAAACTAACAGTTATCATCACTAGCTTGTCTCTCTGGTAGAATATAAACTAACAGTTATTAATCACTAGCTTGTCTCTCTGGTAGAATATAAACTAACCGTTATTAATCACTAGCTTGTCTCTCTGAATGGTAGAATATAAACTAACAGTTATTAATCACTAGCTTGTCTCTCTGAATGTTAGAATAGAAACTAACAGTTATTAATCACTAGCTTGTCTCTCTGAATGTTATAATATAAACTAACAGTTATCATCACTAGCTTGTCTCTCTGAATGGTAGAATATAAACTAACCGTTATTAATCACTAGCTTGTCTCTCTGGTAGAATATAAACTAACAGTTATTAATCACTAGCTTGTCTCTCTGGTAGAATATAAACTAACCGTTATTAATCACTAGCTTGTCTCTCTGAATGGTAGAATATAAACTAACAGTTATTAATCACTAGCTTGTCTCTCTGGTAGAATAGAAACTAACAGTTATTAATCACTAGCTTGTCTCTCTGAATGGTAGAATAGAAACTAACAGTTATTAATCACTAGCTTGTCTCTCTGGTAGAATAGAAACTAACAGTTATTAATCACTAGCTTGTCTCTCTGAATGGTAGAATAGAAACTAACAGTTATTAATCACTAGCTTGTCTCTCTGGTAGAATAGAAACTAACAGTTATTAATCACTAGCTTGTCTCTCTGAATGGTAGAATATAAACTAACAGTTATCATCACTAGCTTGTCTCTCTGACATGGTAGAATACAAACTAACAGTTATCATCACTAGCTTGTCTCTCTGGTAGAATATAAACTAACCGTTATTAATCACTAGCTTGTCTCTCTGACATGGTAGGAAAATACAGTTAAACTGAACAAGATGGGATTTGTTCCCTGAAACTGACATTGCTCCTCAGGGGCTAAACAACTGAAATCTGCCCTAAACACAAACTAGTATAGGAAGTTAACTGTACGGATCTCATGGACTTCAAGAAGCCATGTCCATTTTTGTCGATAGCTAAGTGGTTACACAAACAGTGGAGTGTGATGATAGTTTCGTTGGAAGTTGAGGGTGGTTCTGTACTGTAGGACCCTATAAAATCTGTAACATTTTTGCCTGGTTCCATTAGTTTTCCCCACAAAATTCAATTTCCTCCTTTTAGTTTTTCCAGGTTTCCGTTTCTTCCCAGTTTTTGCTCTCAAAATCAAACTTTTTTTAATAGGAAAACAACTAAATTGGATATTCTAAGCCCACAACAACGCTTAAACCACATCAGGAGTCCACTTTTGAGGTCTGGGGAAAATCTAATAAATGTTTATATATTTTGGTGTAGTTCCCCTTTTAATTAAACAGTGAACCAGCCAGAGACCATCGTTTGGTTAGCGATGTTTCAATGTTTCTGTAGCGCTCATGTGATTGCAAAGTTTGCCAAACAAAATGGCCACTGGATTGACGCAAATAATCAGGATATCATTCTGCCAGGTAGGCATAGTCTACTTTGTAGTTAACATTTAATTGAGAAGATTTTGGGGAACTTTTCCATCTACCAGAAGAGAGGTTGTCAATATATTAGCATCAATCACCAACACAAAGTGGTAGACAGACAGACAGACAGACCAGAGACAGACAGACCAGAGACAGACAGACCAGAGACAGACAGACAGACCAGAGACAGACAAGACAGACAGACCAGAGACAGACAAGACAGACAGACCAGAGACAGACAAGACAGACAGACCAGACAGACCAGAGACAGACAGACCAGAGACAGACAGACAGACAAGACAGACCAGAGACAGACAGACCAGAGACAGACAGACAGACAAGACAGACCAGAGACAGACAGACCAGAGACAGGCAGACAGACAGACAAGACAGACCAGAGACAGACAGACCAGAGACAGACAGACCAGAGACAGACAAGACAGACCAGAGACAGACAAGACAGACCAGAGACAGACAGACCAGAGACAGACCAGAGACAAACAGACCAGAGACAGACAGACAGACAGACAAGACAGACCAGAGACAGACAGACCAGAGACAGACCAGAGACAAACAGACCAGAGACAGACAGACAGACAGACCAGGGACAGACAGACAAGACAGACCAGAGACAGACAGACAAGACAGACCAGAGACAGACAGACCAGAGACAGGCAGACCAGAGACAGACAAGACAGACAGACCAGAGACAGGCAGACCAGAGACAGACAAGACAGACCGACAAGGAAGGAAGGCAGGCAGGCAGGCAAGACAGACAAGACAGACAGGACAGACAGGGGCATTCCTGTGCCGTTGCCTGAAAATACGAATCACTGGGTACGGTTACATGCGCACAATACGATTATTGTGCAGTCTGGTTAATATCATAGTTTTAAAACGTTTACATGCTTTGCAAGAAGAACGATTTCCCTAATAATCCTGTTTCCATGGACACATCTGAAAATCAGGCTTCCTGATGGGACTTAAATAAATACAGAAACCAATCAGAATCATCGTTCTACCACGTGTTTTTTTTTTGGAGAAGGCTATTTGAGTTCGGACATAAAGTTTGTACGTGAAAACTATTTCTAAGATGCATACTTTCAGTTTTTCCTAACTCACTACACTCGCACATAAGAGGGAGGCTGGCGCTGCCCGGTGCTGCCACATGCCATAAGAGGGAGGCTGGCGCTGCCCGGTGCTGCCACATGCCATAAGAGGGAGGCTGGCGCTGCCCGGTGCTGCCACATGCCATAAGAGGGAGGCTGGCGCTGCCCGGTGCTGCCACATGCGCAGATCAAACACACTGCTGGAACGCCGATTAAGCCGTTTACATTTCCTAATCATTTGAAAGATTGCTCAGAAAACCAGGTGTTTTAAATCGGTGTATGCTTACCCGGACAGATAGGATACATTTGGATACGTTTTGATCTTACGATTAGCAGGTGTTTACATCACTGCCATAATCAGTTTAATATCGAATTATTAGTGTGCATGTAAACGTACTCACTGATGCATTTTGTTCATGTCTTATGATAAACTTGGGCAAATTTAATGCATTTTCTAATAAGTTCAATACATTTAGTTGATTCCCTACTAAATTCAATAGATTTTTTGAATATTGTTGAACTCTGTTTTAATGTCTGGATTCCATGATTCCGTCCACAACGCAGATTTTATAGGGCCCCTAGTACTGGTACTGACCTGTCCTGGGTTTGGACCAGGAAGTCAGTACTGACCTGTCCTGGGTTTGGACCAGGAAGTCAGTACTGACCTGTCCTGGGGTTGGACCAGGAAGTCAGTACTGACCTGTCCTGGGGTTGGACCAGGAAGTCAGTACTGACCTGTCCTGGGGTTGGACCAGGAAGTCAGTACTGACCTGTCCTGGGGTTGGACCAGGAAGTCAGTACTGACCTGTCCTGGGGTTGGACCAGGAAGTCAGTACTGACCTGTCCTGGGGTTGGACCAGGAAGTCAGTACTGACCTGTCCTGGGGTTGGACCAGGAAGTCAGTACTGACCTGTCCTGGGGTTGGACCAGGAAGTCAGTACTGACCTGTCCTGGGGTTGGACCAGGAAGTCAGTACTGACCTGTCCTGGGGTTGGACCAGGAAGTCAGTACTGACCTGTCCTGGGGTTGGACCAGGGAGTCTCTGACGTGAGGGATGGGTAGGTAGGGGGTTAGTACTGACCTGTCCTGGGGTTGGACCAGGGAGTCTCTGACGTGAGGGATGGGTAGGTCGGGGGTTAGTACTGACCTGTCCTGGGGTTGGACCAGGGAGTCTCTGACGTGAGGGATGGGTCGGTAGGGGGTTAGTACTGACCTGTCCTGGGGTTGGACCAGGGAGTCTCTGACGTGAGGGATGGGTCGGTAGGGGGTTAGTACTGACCTGTCCTGGGGTTGGACCAGGGAGTCTCTGACGTGAGGGATGGGTCGGTAGGGGGTTAGTACTGACCTGTCCTGGGGTTGGACCAGGGAGTCTCTGACGTGAGGGATGGGTCGGTAGGGGGTTAGTACTGACCTGTCCTGGGGTTGGACCAGGGAGTCTCTGACGTGAGGGATGGGTCGGTAGGGGGTTAGTACTGACCTGTCCTGGGGTTGGACCAGGGAGTCTCTGACGTGAGGGATGGGTAGGTAGGGCTGGAGGTCATTGTTCTCCTGACACGCCGCGTTGTGGCTCTTCAGAACATCGATGATTCTCTCCACCATGTCATACATCTGCCTGGTCTCCTCCTCCTCTCTCCTCCAACGGTACTTCATGTAGTAGATTACACCCCACACCAGACCAATCACTAGAGAGAGAGAGAGAGCAGGTTAGATACTTCATGTAGTAGAATACACCCCAGACCAGACCAATCACTAGAGAGAGAGAGACAGAGAGAGAGACACAGAGAGAGAGACACAGAGAGAGAGACACAGAGAGAGAGACAGAGACAGAGAGACAGAGAGAGAGACAGAGAGAGAGACAGAGAGAGAGACAGAGAGAGAGACAGAGACAGAGAGAGACAGAGAGAGACAGAGAGAGACAGAGAGAGACAGAGAGAGACAGAGAGAGACAGAGAGATTTCTAACCTGTTAGGATGAGCAGCAGCCTGTGGATGACTGTAAAGAAGGCTCTTCTGAAGCGGCAGGAGAAGGACATTTTGGGGTGGGTCGATTCCAGACGAGTCACCTCACTCACCTCCGCTACCGTCTCCTCTGGGTTATCCCCGATCAGCCTGGCAGAGAAGAGGAGAGAGAGGGAGAGGAGAGGAGGGAGGAGAGGGAGAGAGAGGAGGGGAGGAGGGAGGGAGAGAGAGGGGAGGGGAGGGGAGGAGGGAGAGAGGAGAGGGGAGGGAGGAGAGAGAGGAGAGGGGAGGAGGGAGAGGTGCCATTAGTATGAGAATACATCACAGTGGGCGATAACAGGGTCCTGTTCATTAGGCACCAAACAGAAGAACACAGACAAACAGGGAGAGACACCCTGGACTACCTGGTCCAATATGAAATGCCCAGTTTGGTTTTCTGTTGCAAAGCGTTTTTAAAACTGCATGCCCTAATGACCACGACCCTAGACGCTCTTCGCTATTTACCGTATGCCAACATCCTCCCCTGACCGTATGATCCACTCCAGAGAAAGGAGTAGCCAGTGACGGTAGTCCTCATTCTGCTGTATCAGATAGTCAGAGGCATCCTCCATAGACAGACTCCTGTTGGCCTGCTGCTGCTCCGGGTCTATACAGTCATGTTGTCCTGATGGGGGGGACAATATTAAACGTTAGCTCCAGATAAACCACTTATTATTAGACAGACAGGCAGACTGACACCTCATTTCAACAGTAATCCACGGAGTTAAGATTTCAAACTATCCTTGAGCTGTTAGTGTCGTCATTACAGCAAAAAAAATAAAAAAGGTGTGCCATTTGACAACATACACTGAGTGAACAGAACATTAGGAACACCTTCCTAATATTGAGTTGCACCCCCCCCTTTTGCCCTCAGAACAGCCTCAATTCGTCGGGGCATGGACTCTACAAGGTGTCGAAAGAGTTCCTCAGGGATGCTGGCCCATGTTGACTCCAGTGCTTCCCACAGTTGTGTCAAGTTGGCTGGATGTCCTTTGGGTGGTGGACTATTCTTGATACACACGGGGAAACTGTTGAGTGTGAAAAACCCAGCAGCGTTGCAGTTCTTGGCACAAACCGGTGCGCCTGGCACCTACTACCATACCCCGTTCAAAGGCACTTAAATATTTTGTCTTGCCCATTCACCCTCTGAATGGCACACATACACAATCCATGTCTCAATTGTCTCAAGGCTTAAAACTCCTTCTATAACCACCAGTCTCCTCCCCTTCATCTACACTGACTGAAGTGGATTTAACAAGTGACATCAATAAGGGATCATAGCTTCCACCCGGATTCACCTGGACAGTCTATGTCATGGAAAGAGCAGAGTTTTGTACACTGTGTACACCCTGGGGTCTTCATTTGAAAACGACACATTCTAACTATTTAAGCATAGCATACAGCCAAGGTTGGAGGATGGAAGAATCTCATTTAATTGAGAACAAAAACAACAACAAAAAAATCTGCAAGATCCTTTCTTAACGTACCAGCAACATTAGCCAGGTGGTCATGAAGTTTGAGTAGGAGTTTCAGAATGGTGTCCTTCTCTGTCTTGGTCTGAAATCCACAAAAGATCAAGTCAATATTTCTGTGGCAGTATTACAGACATCTGTCAACACAAATGACGTACTGCTAAAGTCTATTTATTCATGTTTTTCAGGTAAATGCTCACGTGTGGCCGTATTAGAGATAATGTTTCATGTAGACTACTATATATACAAGCCATCTTTCAGTCCTATACGTTACAATATCGCTGTAATGCTAGCAGGGCCTGAAACTAACTTGTTGGTCCACCAGCCACTGTAGATATAGAAATCAATCAAATCTACCAGCCACTCAGATATTCTGCCAAAATTACACACAAAAAAAAAACAGATTAAAGCATGCTTTAATGTTTATTAAACAATTAAATGTATGACAAATAAGGTGGTATATTGCTTAATTTCATGAAATATTTTGTGACTTTACCAAAATATAATGTAACCTGCCCCTTTAAGGGTGGGAGGTGACCTCTGCTGAGTCATGTTTGTGCCTGTGAGATTGAGAGAGTGACTAGCATCCGCGTGGTCCTCTCTTCCCTAGCAGTTGGAACTCAAAACATAGAAAAAAAAAAACCTGGCTGGTGAACAAAACAAATGTAAATAGCCAAGAAACACGAGGACAAAGACTCACTTTGCAGACTTTCATTTCAAGTAAATTTGACCAAAATGCTACTGCAGCATTTATTAAGCTATAAAATGTGATCATACTTGACTATTTATATTCACAGATGCGCGAGAGAAAACGCTTGCACTGTGGAGCCCTGACCATCCGCCAACGTGGCTGGTGAAATAGACATCTTCTTACCCGCCAAAGCCGAAACCTAATCAATAACGTCTCTCCGCAGACCGCAGTTACTACATGCCACGCCCACTACGCGTCACTTATTAAAATGCTGTGCCCACCGCCATTGAGGCTACTAGCTCTGCCTCTGGTCCACACTCCAGCACAGTAGGTGGCGGTAACGCACCAACGTTGGATGCCAATCGCTGAACAAACTCCCACCGAAGGAGGGAGGCTGCTAGCTAGCTAGGCTAGGGGACAGCGGCACACAGAGTCCTTCGATCCCGCCTGCCGAGCACTGCTTTCCTGCAGTTCTGTTAACGTTATGGCGAGGGAAGTAGCTAGCTAGTGTCGCCAACCCAACTCTTGCGTGGCCCTACCGGGTAGTGATTACCCTCGCCGTAACGTTAAAGTAACTGCAGGAAAGCAGTGCTCCGCAGGCGGAGGGGCGAAGGACTCTGTACCGCTGTCCCCTAGCCTAGCTAGCTAGCAGGCGGAGGGGCGAAGGACTCTGTACCGCTGTCCCCTAGCCTAGCTAGCTAGCAGGCGGAGGGGCGAAGGACTGTGTACCGCTGTCCCCTAGCCTAGCTAGCTAGCAGGCGGAGGGGCGAAGGACTCTGTGTACCGCTGTCCCTTAGCCTAGCTAGCTAGCAGGCGGAGGGGCGAAGGACTGTGTACGCTGTCCCCTAGCCTAGCTAGCTAGCAGGCGGAGGGGCGAAGGACTCTGGTACCGCTGTCCCTAGCCAGCTAGCTAGCAGGCGGAGGGGCAAAGGACTCTTTTGTACCGCTTGTCCCCTAGCCTAGCTAGCAGGCGGAGGGGCGAAGGACTCTGTATACCGCTGTCCCCTAGCCTAGCTAGCTAGCAGGCGGAGGGGCGAAGGACTCTGTGTACCGCTGTCCCCTAGCCTAGCTAGCTAGCAGGCGGAGGGGCGAAGGACTCTGTGTACCGCTGTCCCCTAGCCTAGCTAGCTAGCAGGCGGAGGGGCGAAGGACAGTATGTGCCGGTGTCCTAGCTAGCTAGCAGCCTCAATGGCAGTGGGCGTGGCACGTAGTAAGGGACGTGTAGTGGGCGTGGCATGTAGTAAGGGACGTGTAGTGGGCGTGGCATGTAGTAAGGGACGTGTAGTGGGAGCATCACGTAGTAAGGGACGTGTAGTGGGAGCATCACGTAGTAAGGGACGTGTAGCGGGAGCATCACGTAGTAAGGGACGTGTAGTGGGAGCATCACGTAGTAAGGGACGTGTAGAGGGAGCATCACGTAGTAAGGGACGTGTAGCGGGAGCATCACGTAGTAAGGGACGTGTAGCGGGAGCATCACGTAGTAAGGGACGTGTAGTGGGAGCATCACGTAGTAAGGGACGTGTAGTGGAGCATACGTAGTAAGGGACGTGTAGCGGGAGCATCACGTAGTAAGGGACGTGTAGCGGGAGCATCACGTAGTAAGGGACGTGTAGTGGGAGCATCACGTAGTAAGGGACGTGTAGTGGGAGCATCACGTAGTAAGGGACGTGTAGTGGGAGCATCACGTAGTAAGGGACGTGTAGTGGGAGCATCACGTAGTAAGGGACGTGTAGTGGGAGCATCACGTAGTAAGGGACGTGTAGCGGGAGCATCACGTAGTAAGGGACGTGTAGCGGGAGCATCACGTAGTAAGGGACGTGTAGCGGGAGCATCACGTAGTAAGGGACGTGTAGCGGGAGCATCACGTAGTAAGGGACGTGTAGTGGGAGCATCACGTAGTAAGGGACGTGTAGTGGGAGCATCACGTAGTAAGGGACGTGTAGTGGGAGCATCACGTAGTAAGGGACGTGTAGTGGGAGCATCACGTAGTAAGGGCGCAGAATGCAGTGGGCGGTCTACAGATGTTCATGTTAGGCCCTGATTGTTTGACAACTACACTAACTTGGCCTTAGGCTAGGGCCAAAATTATAAGAAAATATACTTACATAAGACTTGTCAAACTCGCTGCCAAACGGGTGGTTCTTAACTGAAGAAAGAACAAAAACACAGCAATTATAATCCGACCACGCCCCATTTAATTGAAAGTTTGAAACAGGGGGGCTAGGGGGAGAATAAAGACTGACAGTAAATGAAGACATCACAGACATATGGTCTTTCATTACCTACTGTAGTTAGTGAGGGTTGAGGAGAGACTAGAGAAGACAGTCACAGTGAGGGTTGAGGAGAGACTAGAGAAGACAGTCACAGTGAGGGTTGAGGAGAGACTAGAGAAGACAGTCACAGTGGGGATTGAGGAGAGACTAGAGAAGACAGTCACAGTGAGGGTTGAGGAGAGACTAGAGAAGACAGTCACAGTGAGGATTGAGGAGAGACTAGAGAAGACAGTCACAGTGAGGACTGAGGAGAGAGACTAGAGAAGACAGTCACAGTGAGGGTTGAGGAGAGACTAGAGAAGACAGTCACAGTGAGGGTTGAGGAGAGACTAGAGAAGACAGTCACAGTGAGGGTTGAGGAGAGACTAGAGAAGACAGTCACAGTGAGGGTTGAGGAGAGACTAGAGTAGACAGTCACAGTGAGGGTTGAGGAGAGACTAGAGAAGACAGTCACAGTGAGGGTTGAGGAGAGACTAGAGAAGACAGTCACAGTGAGGGTTGAGGAGAGACTAGAGAAGACAGTCACAGTGAGGGTTGAGGAGAGACTAGAGAAGACATTTACAGTGAGGGTTGAGGAGAGAGAAGACAGTCACAGTGAGGGTTGAGGAGAGACTAGAGAAGACATTTACAGTGAGGGTTGAGGAGAGAGAAGACAGTCACAGTGAGGGTTGAGGAGAGACTAGAGAAGACAGTCACAGTGAGGGTTGAGGAGAGACTAGAGAAGACAGTCACAGTGAGGGTTGAGGAGAGACTAGAGAAGACAGTCACAGTGAGGATTGAGGAGAGACTAGAGAAGACAGTGGGGGTTGAGGAGAGACTAGAGAAGACAGTCACAGTGAGGAATGAGGGGAGAGACTAGAGAAGACAGTCACAGTGAGGGTTGAGGAGAGACTAGAGATGGGACAACAGACAGGCAGATGGTCGCATCATCTGTCTGCCATGCTCCAGTCTCTGGCCTGGCCTGCCATGCTCCAGTCTCTGGCCTGCCATGACCACTACTACCACTACCAACACTACTACCACCACCACCACCACCACCACTACTACGTTTACTACTACTACTACTGTTTGAGCGACCATTCATTATTCAACACTTCCTCCCCACATTAAATGCTTCCTATACAGAGAGCCTGTAGTATACGGTTTAATTATAATGAATGAAGAAAACCTGTAGGCATGAATTTGTCTACAATACCCTATGGTTGGGATATACAGTACCAGTCAAAAGTTTGGACACACCTACTCATTCAAATGTTTTTCTTTATTTTTACTATTTTCTACATTGTAGAATAATAGTGAAGATGTCAAAACTATGAAATAACACATATGGAATCATGTAGTCACCAAAAAAAGTGTTAAACAAATCAAAATATATTTTATATGAGATTCTTCAAACTAGGTGATCGGATTATCTCTGCATGTGTGGTTCCCACCGTGAAGCACGGAGGAGGTGGTGTGATGTTATGGGGGTGCTTTGCTGGTGACACTGTGATATTTAATTAGAATTCAAGGCACACTTAACCAGCATGGCTACCATAGCATTCTGCAGCGATACGCCATCCCATCTGGTTTGCGCTTAGTGGGACTATCATTTGTTTTTCCAACAGGTCAATGACCCAAAACACCGGTGTAAGGGCTATTTGACCAAGAAGGAGAGTGATGGAGTGCTGCATCAGATGACCTGGCCTCCACAATCACCCGACCTCAACCCAATTGAGATGGTTTGGGATGAGATGGACCAAAGAGTGAAGGAAAAGCAGCCAACAAGTGCTCAGCATGTGGGAACTCCTTCAAGACTGTTGGAAAAGCATTCCTCATGAAGCTGGTTGAGAGAATGCCAAGAGTGTGCAAAGCTGTCATCAAGGCAAAGGGTGGCTACTTTGAAGAATCTCAAATATATTTTTGATTTGTTTAACACTTTTTTGGTTACTACATGATTCCATATGTGTTATTTCATAGTTTTGATGTCTTCACTATTATTATACAATGTAGAAAATAGTAAAAATAAAGAAAAACCCTTGAATGAGTAGGTGTGTCCAAACGTTTGACTGGTACTGTATATGCATGACCGTAGCTGATCCGTTCAAACCACACCAAGTCAGGACCCTATTTTTTATTAATTTTTTTATCTGAGAAGGTGAACTGAGAAACTAACTGCACTGTAAAATGCATCTGAATGGGTTATTGAATATTTCATGTGTTTGTGGCTTTGACAGCACTCAGAGGTGCAGTCCTGAGGTAGAGTATGAGTCTAGCTCTAGTGACCAGGCAGGCATTTGCTTAGGCCTATAGTGTTAATACCTCAAGGTAAATACTACAGTATCCGTATTGAGGCAAGGCTCTATCGTGTCATTTGTAACAGCATACCTGGGCACACCCGGGGGGGGGGAGGGGGAGCATACCCTGAAGCACACACAGTGGGGTTGAATGGGCTAGCTTAGTGGTTAAGAGCGTTGTGCCAGTAACCCGAAAGGTCGCTGGTTCTAATCCCCGAGCCGACTAGGTGAAAAAAATCTGTCGATGTGCCCTTGAGCAAGGCACTTAACCCTAATTGCTCATGTAAGTCGCTCTGGATAAGAGCGTCTGCTAAATGACTAAAATGTAAATGTAGCGGCCGATAGTTAGCCAGCCTATGGAAGCCAATGGATGGGAGGTAGCTTTCTATGTTGACATGCTAATACCTCTGCTGTACCCTCCATAAAATACGTGTCCCTCTATGTAGAATGATGTTGTAGGACTTCCTGTCTTTGAAGGTGTGAAAAATTGTATGCACTCACTAACTGTAAGTCGCTCTGGATAAGAGCGTCTGCTAAATGACTAAAATGTAAGTGTGAAAATGTGTGAATGGCTCCGAGGGTGACAACTGCTAGGCCTGCTTCGTTACACACTAATTAGTCCTATGAAATCATCGTTTTTAGGCCTAAATTTTTAGGTTCCTTGTGGCGATTTTCTGCTAAGAGGCAAATAACTGATTTTGATGTCCGACAAAGAGTGACTCCGTGCAGAATGCAAAAACTCATCACGTACTGTAGAGTAAACTATAGGAAATCATTTCTGGAGGGTATAGGTTTACATCTCTCCTTATTGTCTTCAAAACATGCTAGTAGCAATTTAAAACCTTTGTTAGATTGTTTTCATATTACAAATGTCCATTGCAAAAGGCTAAAGTCCGGCCGTCCTATGCATAAAGCAGTATCTAGACAGTCAGTCACCTAATATTAAAAAATACCAGGGCTGGTTATCAATCCGTTTTAAATATTGATATTATACTGCAATGTGGAAGCAAATTGAAGCTTTAGAATGCTACAATTGTACAGTAAACCTAGCCACAGAATGATGGATTGGATTGAGAGACAAAAAAAATACTACTAGCTAACTATGTTTAGGAAGTTCCATTTCATAGGGCTGTAAACTTACTGACAACATCGACCTCAGAGGCTCCAGACCCCCGCATCCGGAGGTACATGAGGCCGAGCAGGAGGAAGAACAGGCAAGCGGCCATGAGCAACAACATGGACAGGTAGTGTGCGCTGAAGCCCCAACCACCGGTGGACGACCCCACCTCCTCCCGCTTGAATTGCTGGAGCAGCTCATCCTCCGGCGCCGTGTGTTTGTGCTTGAGGCTCGACTGGCTGTAGGCATGGTTGTGCCCGCTATGATTCGAATGGTTGGGCCGGTAAGTAGCGGATAGAGTGTTGTAGTTGGAGAACCGCGGTCTCAGGCCGATGCTGAATCGGCTACTGCTGCTGCTGCTGCTGCTAGTGGCGCCATCCCCACTGTCGACGTGGTTTTTGTTGTAGGCGGAGGACGGGGAATTGTTGCCGCTGCTTTCCCCGGGGCTGCCGCGGTCGCTCTCCCCCATCACAGCCGACACGTAGATGGTCCCCCTGGGGTAATGGCGTCGCAGCAAGCCCCCGCTCAGAGACGATTCGCCGGGGCCTCGCTTCTTTCCCTCGTCCTCGTCATCCTCCTCCTCCCCTCGGCCTCCCATCATGTCTAGTCGACTCCTACTAGCGCCAGGCGTGTCATTTAGCCTGATTGCCATGGCTGCAGTCTTTTCCTGGCCGCTCTCTGACCCCCTGGCACTTCTGTGGGGAGACGACTTGAAGGAGTGACTCCGTCTGGAGCAGTGTACCTGTAAGCGGCGGTCTCGTTGACGGTCCTGCCCAGATATGATTCCCTCTTCTTCCTCCTCCTCCGAATCCGAGTAATCCCCGACTAGTTTACTACTGGTATTCAGTGAGTAAGACGCCCTGTTCCCATTCAGAGACCGACTGTCTCTCTCCGTCTCCCCTTGGAAATCTTCTTCCTCTTCGGGCTCTACGTCATAACCCTTCCCCTCCGCGGGCTGCGAGACCTCGAGGCTCGATTTTCCCCGGTCCACCCAGCCGAGAGAACCGGGTCCGCTTCTCCTCCCCTCCAGCAGCCCGGCGGGAGAGGAATTGTTGCTGCTGGTACTCACAGAGACTCCCAGGCTCTTTCGGGCGGCGGTGGCAGCTCCCGTTGTAGGCCTGATCTGCTGTTGTTGTTGGTGGTGGTGGTACGCGGAGCCTCGGTCTCTCCTGCCGCTGTGGTTCGGTCCTCGTTTTTTCTGCGGGGCCTCCACGTCCGATTCGTCCGAGCTAAAGCCCAAAACGAACTTCCCCGCTCCGCCAGCTCGCTTTTCGTTCAGGCCCGGTCGACCGCCGGGGCTCCGGCTGCTAGGGCTCAGGTGCGTGACGTCACCGCTAGCTGGCCTGGCTCCGACTCCCGAAGCTCCCGCCGCTGTGTAGCCGCTGTTGCCATCGCCACTAGTGCCGTTGTTGACGCCGCCACTGTTTCGGTTTTTCCCCGCCCTGGTTCCTTTCTGTTGCTGCTCATCGCGCAGTTTCTTTAGTTTTTTCAAATAAACAGGTCGCGTGTTCTCGGACACCGGGCCTGGGCTGAACCCAAAGCGCTTTAACTCGGAGAAAAGCTCCTCGTCGGTTAGCTGCGCCGTCGCCATCTTTGCTCGAAAACTCAAAAGCTGTGACGGAAGTGACGTACAAATAGCAGAAGCAGACAGAAAGAAAAAAGAAAAAGAAGAAGAAAGTCTACCAAAGTCAGTCAGCTGTCTACAGGCAGGGGGCAGGCAGCTCAATGACCTGCTATAAGAACCACCACGTCTAAAAAGTAGCTTCTATCTAGTGCGTGTCTGACAGAATTCTATTTAAATGAGTCGTTTTACAAACACATTGTTTTATATGAATATTGATTTAGGAGGTTTGCCTCAAAGGGGAGTCTAAGGGTTGAGCCAATCAAATAGATTCGATTCGATTTTTATTTAGTCACATCCACAGGGTCGCAGATGTAGTTGCAGTGTACAGTGAAATACTTAAGCGCCGAGCTCCAACACTGCATCATTCCTATAATAGTCTATAGGAATCTATAGTCTATTATTTATTGTATTTTGTGAGCACTGTAGACTATTTTGCATAAACCACCTAACTGTATGATAAAGGCCTACTACATACTGTATGAGAGACTGTCTTGTATGCATGTCGTGTCACCTTTAGACCAGGTGAGGGCATGATTACATTTACATTTTAGTCATTTAGCAGACGCTCTTATCCAGAGCGACTTACAGTTAGTGAGTGCATACATGTGTGGAATAGGGTTGTAGGAAATGTAGTCTACATTCATTGGAAGTTCACAAATAAGAATTTCGTGATTAATAAAGGTTGTAGGCCTACTGGTTTGAAACATTCTATTGTAGGAGTTTTATGGAGGTTTTTTATTTTTATTTTTAAATAAAAATTATTTTAAAAATGCTTTATACTCAGTGTAGCCTATGGGATTTGTTATTCAGTGATCCAGTGAGATTCATTTGAAATATTTAATCATTGACAAAACTCGGTTGGAATGCAATAAAATAACTAATGTCTGGAATTTCTGCATTCTCACCCGTTTCCACTCAAATACCCCGGAGTCCCATCCTTTAGAAGAAGGCACCAGGTGACATACCACCATCTGAAGTGTTTATCTTGGAGCGTTTATGAGCCTTATAAGACATAGACCACACAGGAAGATGATTTGTCTTGAATCCCCCCCCCCCCCCCCCCCCCCCCCCACCCTTTTTCCTCTTCCTATTCTGGAAGCTTGAATTGAGTCAATGCAACAAAAAAAAAAAAAAATGTTTCAGAGAATAGGTCTACTAGCAACATCATGCAATTCTCATCACCATGTGCATTTTTTGTAGGCTATCAATTATAATGATTGTTATGTTTATTTTACTGGGATTCATCATAAAAACGGATGTGTGTAAAAAAACAAAAAAAAAACAAGGAAAGATTAGACCAATACTCCGACCAATAAATAAGTATTTATAGTGCCAGTTGTTTGTCAACATGTTAAGCCATTTACTTCCCACCGCATGAATCAATAGGCAGTGGATAGCCTAACTAAATGTGCACCAACTCTTTACTGCCCACTGCGCCACCGTGTGGCCACACACCCTCCCTGCAGCGCCTGCTGTGTACAAGTAGCTTGCGACGAAGCGCAGGCGTCTCACTGTCAATGAAAGAGGCTCGCTCTCGGCAGACCAGACTAGAGTACAGTGCCTAACCCAGGATACACAGACGCACAATTTTAACTACGAGGAGACCGAACGGAGATCAATTCACAATTTAAAGGGTTAGATTTGAGAGGCTGCAACTCAGAATGGCTACCGAAACAGCCTCTGTTTTTCTGTCCCCCTTCAAAACGTGCTTTCTTCTACTTTTGGGTGGGTTGGTGTCCAAAGCTGCGCAGGACCAGCAGGGAAGTTTGTACATGTGGATTGATGCCAACCAAGCCAGAATCCTAATTGGTAAGTAGCGTTTATTTGCAATTAACCAATGTTACAGTGTCACTTGAATTGGCTTAACGTGCATAGAAAAGTTGGATTGTAACTTTAACTTTAAAGGGATGAGTTCCATGCACTGTGACCCCTATTATATTGGACTGAGTTAAAATGTTGTAGCCACCCCATGCTCTTTCGCATGTGTTGATGCTCTTGTTGAAATGTCAGTGTGTGTTATTGTGCGGGGTTTGGGGAGGATATCTTTGATCGTGTCAGAGGGAAAGATTGCCCCATTTACAACTGACTTAAGGAAAGGTTAGGGGATCATGTTGTAAATGTGTGTGTTATTGTACAGGGTTTGAGGAGGATATCTTGATCGTGTCCGAGGGGAAAATGGCTCCATTCACAACTGACTTCAGAAAGGCCCAGCAGAGGATGCCTGCGATACCAGTGAATATCCAGAACGTCAACTTCACCTGGCAAGCTACTGAACAGGTAGGAGACGGTGACAGGATCACATTAGCCTATAGGCCTACTTACATTTGAAAATAGTAAAATGTGTATATTTGATTCCATTTATTGTAAGACTTTTAGTGATCATTGATAGGCTATATCAAAGGCTATTGATCTGAGAACATGCGCGTAATTGTAGCCTAATGCACAATGCGGTGACTAGTGCGCGATTCTATACGGCAAAAAGGCTGTAATTCATTTTGTTTTGATAAAATAATGATACATTTTGTTGTTCTTATTATTTTGAATCGGTAAGGCTAATAGCCTATATTTAGTACGCATTGATTAACCACATTATGCATTAAAAAAAAAACTCACTTCAAATGAAGAATGTCTTTGAAATTATTGTCTCGATAAAGATCAATAAACTAGGCAAGACCCACTGACTATCCCCCACACTTAAGCCTTCATTCATAAACTAGTCCACATTTCTTCTGAACTATTGTTTCTCACGCTTTCCCCTACATCAAAGACCCAATTCTGATCAAACAACTACGCAATTTTGAGGTTTAAAAAAAATAAGCCTATGTGCGCGGTAGCAGCAGATGATTGATTTTTAAAAAATAGTTTTAGCTTGAGCTCTCTGACCAGTTTCCTTTTTAATATTCTAATTCCCGTCTCTTGCGGTATTTTACATGTCGGTGTCGTGGAACCTGCCGCCACGGATCAAAGCACCGGGCCGCGGCGAGGCCGCCTCTAGGACATGTGCCAAACATCTGGTCCATCTGCGCATTGAAAACATTGGGTCAAATTCTCAGACGCGTGCCAGACCCAACCCGCGCGCTTTATTGGAACTGAGAGGGAAAAGAAAGTTCCATTTGGGATTCGCTTTGTGCAATGGTGTTATTGCCTTGTTCATAATCTTTGTTATGAGTAACAGCTTTGGCAATAACAGTCAGTGAAGTGGTAAAATATTTTTTTTTATCTACACAAAATGCCTTTCAACAAGTCTTCTCTCTCCTATAAGGGATTTGGTAACCTTACTGTGAGGCCGTTGGACAATATTGACATTTATGTATAACAGACATAAAACGGTTATAAACTATTGATGATAATAATGCAATGAGGATGAAAATGTATCCTCTTTTATGTTCAGAGACTTTGAGCTTCATGAAGACTTCACAAGAGGAGCCTAGGCTAAACATTACCAGTTGTGTGGCACACATCCCTGCAAGGCGGGTCCCCAATATATATATATACAGTGGGGAGAACAAGTATTTGATACACTGCCGATTTTGCAGGTTTTCCTACTTACAAAGCATGTAGAGGTCTGTCATTTTTATCATAGGTACACTTCAACTGTGAGAGACGGAATCTAAAACAAAAATCCAGAAAATCACATTGTATGATTTTTAAGTAATTAATTTGCTTTTTATTGCATGACATAAGTATTTGATACATCAGAAAAGCAGATCTTAATATTTGGTACAGAAACCTTTGTTTGCAATTACAGAGATCATACGTTTCCTGTAGGTCTTGACCAGGTTTGCACACACTGCAGCAGGGATTTTGGCCCACTCCTCCATACAGACCTTCTCCAGATCCTTCAGGTTTCGGGGCTGTCGCTGGGCAATACGGACTTTCAGCTCCCTCCAAAGATTTTCTATTGGGTTCAGGTCTGGAGACTGGCTAGGCCACTCCAGGACCTTGAGATGCTTCTTACGGAGCCACTCCTTAGTTGCCCTGGCTGTATGTTTCGGGTCGTTGTCATTCTGGAAGAACCAGCCATGACCCATCTTCAATGCTCTTACTGAGGGAAGGAGGTTGTTGGCCAAAATCTCACAATACATGGCCCCATCCATCCTCCCCTCAATACGGTGCAGTCGTCCTGTCCCCTTTGCAGAAAAGCATCCCCAAAGAATGATGTTTCCACCTCCATGCTTCACGGTTGGGATGGTGTTCTTGATGGTTGTACTCATCCTTCTTCTTCCTCCAAACACGGCGAGTGGAGTTTAGACCAAAAAGCTCTATTTTTGTCTCATTAGACCACATGACCTTCTCCCATTCCTCCTCTGGATCATCCAGATGGTCATTGGCAAACTTCAGATGGGCCTGGACATGTGCTGGCTTGAGCAGGGGGACCTTGCGTGCGCTGCAGGATTTTAATCCATGACGGCTTAGTGTGTTACTAATGGTTTTCTTTGAGACTGTGGTCCCAGCTCTCTTCAGGTCATTGACCAGGTCCTGCCGTGTAGTTCTGGGCTGATCCCTCACCTTCCTCATGATCATTGATGCCCCATAAGGTGAGATCTTGCATGGAGCCCCAGACAGAGGGTGATTGACCGTCATCTTGAACTTCTTCCATTTTCTAATAATTGCGCCAACAGTTGTTGCCTTCTCACCAAGCTGCTTGCCTATTGTCCTGTAGCCCATCCCAGCCTTGTGCAGGTCTACAATTTTATCCCTGATGTCCTTACACAGCTCTCTGGTCTTGGCCATTGTGGAGAGGTTGGAATCTGTTTGATTGAGTGTGTGGACAGGTGTCTTTTATACAGGTAACGAGTTCAAACAGGTGCAGTTAATACAGGTAATGAGTGGAGAACAGGAGAGCTTCTTAAAGAAAAACTAACAGGTCTGTGAGAGCCGGAATTCATACTGGTTGGTAGGTGATCAAATACTTATGTCATGCAATAAAATGCAAATTAATTACTTAAAAATCATACAATGTGATTTTCTGGATTTTTGTTTTAGATTCCGTCTCTCACAGTTGAAGTGTACCTATGATAAAAATTACAGACCTCTACATGCTTTGTAAGTAGGAAAACCTGCAAAATCGGCAGTGTATCAAATACTTGTTCTCCCCACTGTATATATATATATAAATCATGTTTTGGGTTTGGGCCCCCCAGATAGCATATGAACCAGTGGAGGCTGCTGAGGGGAGTACAGCTCAAAAATAATGGCTGTAATGGAGCCTAAATGAATCAGGAATGATCAGGGGCAGCTATACCATAAGGACCCCTTATTCATGTCCTCATTACATGTAGTGCAACAAGTCCACTCATGATCTGGAAAGTTCTCTACTTTTTGATAGATTTAAACAAACAATATTGAAATCACCATGGTCACAAAAACCATCTGCCTGATAGATATATGAATTTTGGTTAAAATATGTTACATTTAATTAGGTTTTAGAGTCATAAAGCAACTGATGAAAAGAACTAAATCGCTACTGTGTGTACCACTATGAATGAAAAAAAAAGGTCACTTTTGTCAACTCCGTAAAAAAACATAAACTCTGTCAGATTGTTTGTCTAACGTCAGGGTGGGAATTGAACCTTTTGGTCCACCAGACTGGCATACCAGACACCTGTGCCTCCCCCTCAAGGCAAAGGGGCCCACCAGACTGGCATACCAGACACCTGTGCCTCCCCCTCAAGGCAAAGGGGCCCACCAGACTGGCATACCAGACACCTGTGCCTCCCCCTCAAGGCAAAGGGGCCCACCAGACTGGCATACCAGACACCTGTGCCTCCCCCTCAAGGCAAAGGGGCCCACCAGCTCTAGAGGCCCATGCGCCTGTCATCCATGTCCATTTTATTTTTTATTTTTAATGAATAAATCATTTTGACAGTAACCCTCCCAAAACAAGTGTAAGGGGATACTAGTGATGAAAGCTACGAAAGCGCCAGTGCAATAAGTGGAGCTTACTCGGGCGTTTCAAAAGAGCATATCAGACCGAGAGCCTAATGCTTCTTAGGCAGGCTAGTTCTTTATGAGTTTTAGTTTAGAAAACGATCTCTCCGCAGAAGCGACAGTTACAGGGATGGTAAAAAACTGCTTGATTGCCGTAGCAACTTCAGGGAAACTGGTCAGAAGGGAGTTCAAATACAGCAGTTCTGTAACGTCCGTTAATTGAGACTCTCGTTCTCCTTAATTGCCGGCCTCAACACGTTATGGAAAGAAATTACATTACATTTATGTCATTTAGCAGACGCTCTTATCCAGAGCGACTAACAAATTGGTGAATTCACCTTATAGCCAGTGGGATAACCACTTTACAATGGGTTCTTTTTTTTATATTTTTTTTTTGGGGGGTGTGGGGTGGGGTAGAATGATTACTTTATCCTATCCCAGGTATTCCTTAAAGAGATGGGGTTTCAAATGTCTCCGGAAGGTGGTGAGTGACTCCGCTGTCCTGGCGTCGTGAGGGAGCTTGTTCCACCATTGGGGTGCCAGAGCAGCGAACAGTTTTGACTGGGCTGAGCGGGAACTGTGCTTCCACAGAGGAAGGGGAGCCAGCAGGCCAGAGGTGGATGAACGCAATGCCCTCGTTTGGGTGTAGGGACTGATCAGAGCCTGAAGGTACGGAGGTGCCGTTCCCCTCACAGCTCCGTAGGCAAGCACCATGGTCTTGTAGCAGATGCGAGCTTCAACTGGAAGCCAGTGGAGTGTGCGGAGGAGCGGGGTGACGTGAGAGAACTTGGGAAGGTTGAACACCAGACGGGCTGCGGCATTCTGGATGAGTTGTAGGGGTTTAATGGCACAGGCAGGGAGCCCAGCCAACAGCGAGTTGCAGTAATCCAGACGGGAGATTACAAGTGCCTGGATTAGGACCTGTGCCGCTTCCTGTGTAAGGCAGGGTCGTACTCTCCGAATGTTGTAGAGCATGAACCTACAGGATCGGGTCACCGCCTTGATGTTAGCGGAGAACGACAGGGTGTTGTCCAGGGTCACGCCAAGGCTCTTCGCACTCTGGGAGGAGGACACAACAGAGTTGTCAACCATGATGGCGAGATCATGGAACGGGCAGTCCTTCCCCAGGAGGAAGAGCATCTCCGTCTTGCCAAGGTTCAGCTTGAGGTGGTGATCCGTCATCCATACTGATATGTCTGCCAGACATGCAGAGATGCGATTCGCCACCTGGTTATCAGAAGGGGGAACGGAGAAGATTAGTTGTGTTACGTCTGCGTAGCAATGATAGGAGAGGCCATGTGAGGATATGACAGAGCCAAGTGACTTGGTGTATAGCGAGAATAGGAGAGGGCCTAGAACTGAGCCCTGGGGGACATCAGTGGTGAGAGCACGTGGTG